ATCATATTTGGCATATAAAGTAAAATTAATTTTTCCCGGCAGTTTCCCCCCTTTCTATTGCAAAGGCCCCATATAATTAAAAAAAATTCATTCCTTTTTTTTTTAGCACAAACAAACCAAAAATAATTAAATAAAATGGAAAGAATTAATATAACTGTTCGACGTTATTTTACTGTACATATAAAAAAATTCTGCATGTATATTTTATTCATATATACAAAAATATTTTTGCCGATAACGTTAACGACAACGATATTTACGAAATCTAAAAGGAAATTTTTGGCGACAGTTACATTAATTAAATTATCAATTTTCATTGAAACGTCTCTGAATCTGCCTGTTTAAAATACAGCAGTGTCAAAACTATATATAATCTCATAACAATTTATAAATAATATTTTTTATTTACAGACAGTTCAAAATTAAATGTCGGTTATTTTAACTGAAATAGAAGGTAATGAGTAGAATTTGATCCTACCTTCTTGCATCGAAAAAAAATTAACATGCATGAAAAAATTAATAAAGTATTTCTTTATTCACCAACATCGGACTCAACTTTGTATAAGTTTTGTGCGTGTAACTGTGCATCGAAAAATGCATGGAATAAATTTATTTTGCTTTTATTGAGACAAAAAAATGAGATGTATCTGCTATTACCAATAAACGCATCAGAGATTTTCTTGGCAATAACTTTGAAAACCAATGAGTTATTGTACATGACTGTGATAAAAATAAAATTATCGGAATTTTTTTAGTAGTTTTATTTATGCCTTTTTGCTTTTAGGAGTCCACCAAGGCACGGTTTATGAATCTGCTTGGATTTAAAATGAGTGGTGGGTTTGACTGTATCAAGATCATCAAAAATATCATCAAATTCATGATGCGTTGTTTCTAGATTTTCTATGATCTCGCACGTTTTCTTATATATATCCTACACAATACGTTAAAACTGATTAGTGATGCAAATTTTTCTGATGATAAATAAACAAATGGGATCTTACCATGACTGATTTAATAACACTGATAGACGTCTTCAGTTTTCCAATATTCTGAAGTTTTGTAGGAAGCTCAAACTTAGGTCCGGAAAAACTAGATAAAACCCTTCTACCAGATCCTCGACCAGCATTTGTCCACTTGTGCCGGCGAATTGTAGAAAAGGCACTCGAATGTTCTTAACCTGTTCATCACTAAGTTTGTATTCCAATAATCCGTTTGAGATTGATTGATTTATTCGTGCGGATCGGCAACGGTCACCGATGGCCTTAGATGCTGTAGCTTTTGCAGAATATTCCCACTCCCCAACATCAACTCTCGACATCGATAAAAACGCACATCACATTTACGGCCCCTGATGTGGTCTATACTCCTGCTTAACGGGCAAAATGATTCGCCCCTATGATAATAAAATTATAGCTTGTAAAAATAGCCATGTTATTCGGAATGAGCAAACAATCAATCATTTATACTAACCATCTTGGGAATATTTGGAGGTTCTTGTTCAATCCCTCAATTATGTACGAACAGGCTTTTAAAATAACATCCATTTCCGTGTGTGTATTCTTTGCATTGTAATCCAAGAAGTCAGCTTGATCTTGGCTTTTATATATACTGTACATATGAATAATAAAGTTAGAATCACAAAAAAATAGAGAATAGAAAATTTTAGACAGTAAAACCAATCACTTACAAATCGGCATATATTTTGCTGATCTTGCGTATGTAGCTGTTATTTTCAGAGCTAAGATGCTTTTCAGTACAGAACTTGAACGCCACATCCACTTTCCCTTTATGCACCATCTATAAAATAATGAGTAGTATGATAATATGGGCATATAGAACAACAAGATAAATTCGAAGAAAGAAAAGCCAAAAACGCACATCCTCAACTATTTTGATAAATGAACATTCTCCATCTGGCATTTCGGAAACTTGTAACAAAGCCTTATAATCTTTCATTACGAATTCCCTATCTTCGATCAAAAACCATTGCTTCGTGTGTGCAGATAAGTCGATTATCTGCGATGCTCCGTAGCATAATATGGCCTTTTTAACGGCTGATAGTCTCTTCTTTCTTTTAATCGCCTTTGCGTTCGCGGATATTCTCTTAGCAACAATATCATTAAAATCCTTCCCAGAAGGTAAAATCCTGTTTTTTTGTTGCTAAGGACGGAATCAAGAGTTTCTTCCGGAGCAGGTACATCTTCTTCATCGCTAACATCATCATGATCATAGTCATCTACTTGGGAGGAAGAATCGTCGTTGTCTTGAGATCATCTTGGGAAGAATTATCATCATCCGATGGTATGAGATTTAGAGGAGTCGCTTTCTTAAGTTTGGTACCATCAGACAACATGTTTGATGGTAATTTTTTCTTGGAGGAACCATGAATGGTTTAAATCTGTACAGATATTCGGGTAGGAAAGATGGGAAGACAATTTTTGTGGACTAATCTTATTTGTATTCCAAACTGACCTTTTTGACCGCTACTTCATTATTTGCAGTGCTATCAAGAGAACGCGAGGACTTCATCAGATCTTTGTAATCTTCTTGAGCTTTTTGTGATTGAAATTTGCTTGATGCTTTTAATAGTTCGATACTCTCAGTATCAAGAACATTCCTGAGCTTAAGCTATAAATAAGATTAAAGACACTTTCTAAAATGATGTACTGATACAATCGAAAACATTGCTGAGATTTTGCTGAAACTTACTCGATTCCTTTTTGATATCACCTCTTTCCAAAAACGACATATAGTTACGTCGGCATGTTCTGATTTCACCTTTTGGTAATGAAGTAGACCGTTAGAAGGCTAAACATTCGCTGATCCAAAACCTCAATGATCAGACAAAAACAAAGCAAGCGGAGTCGCGAAGGTGAAGACCAGGAAGTAGCTGATACTCCTGAGTTAGGTAGTAGCTGATCAGAAGTTTCCATCACCAACACTTGGGCCAGGAAGTAGCTGATACTCTTGAGTCAGGAAGTAGCTGATCAGGAGCTCCCTTTCCATAATTAAATTGAAACAAAATCACCTTCTTTTTTACGTCGTTGTATAATGCTCGGTCAATCTCTTTCACCTCGCGCAGGAATCTTCTGGTCCACGTATCATCAAGAGCATTCATACTCTCTAAAAATGGCGGTAGATCGACAAGGAACTCACTGTTTAGTTTTAAAAAATTTATGTAGGACCAGTCTTCGGAATTAGAATTTGCCAGGCAGGTACCCTACGAGAGCTATCAAAAGATCTAGATAATTAATCCTCATGTTTTCTTATGGTCTTTTGAATTAGTGTATTAAAACACACCCGCACGTCCAGGATACATTTCACCATCTGTTTTAGTACTCGATTTTCTAGCGATATTATTGGTTGAAATTTGTGATAATCATTTTTGAAAAATGATTACTTTTATTGGTCTGAAATTGATCGTCATCATATTTACCAAAAAAAGATAGGCCAATTTTTTGGTTATAATACTGTTTCAGCCTTTATTTAAAATTATATTTTTCGGCTTTTTTTAATAAAATTTATATAA